CGGCGTTGCAGAGGCTTGTCAACCAAGACAGCCCCACAACATCCAGAGACTTAAGGTACTCAGGGCGGATCTCATCCATCCCCGGTGCCTTGCCACGAGAAGCTTCTTGACTACCTCAGTGACTTCAGCTTGGGTGATGAACGAGTCCACCTTTGAGCCCTCAGCCTCTGCTTCCTCATTGGAAGACATGGCGCCGGGATTGAGGAGATCCTCGAAGTATTCCTTCCACCGTCCGACAATGTCCCCAGTTGAGGTCAACAGTTGACCATACAGTTGAATCACCACCTCTCTAAAACAGTTTCAACTAAAAATGAACATTATCTTCTCCACGAAGGAGGACTTACTGTCGGACTGCATTACTTTTATCTAGGCGTACCTAATAAACTGCCAACTGAGTGAAAACACTGCTGTACATTATAGATCCTGTATCCTGCATTTTAAGTTTCTTTATGAAAGTCTAAACATCTGTGGCATTGGCACTGGACAACAGAGGTGGTACAACCTGGACAGACCAGGGACATGACACACAAACCTGTGAGCAGTTTAAAATTCACCTCAGAAGCCCTAGCTGGAAATAAAGTCCACGCTAGGCGATTCTGAACCCCATGACTTGTGATTAATGCCAACTGCAGTGCCAGTGCAGAAAGTAATGTGATATTTTATGTCGCCAGGCAGACAGTAATGCTGCAAAGGTTGGGGAGGTGGATGGATGTGCAGTAATTCAGACTTTGAATCAGGAGACTGGAGTTTGAGTCCCATTCACTGGCCTGCATTTCATGTTAATTTTTGATGCTGACCACAAAGTTTTCATCATCTTAAAGGGAAACCTTCCAATTTTATACACCAAAGTCTATTTACAGATACTCTGGTAATGTTTCTAATTAAGAGTGTTTTTATTAGTATGAAAATTAATGAACAGTATTGACAAGGGTTCCAGATGAGATCCAGGAAAACTAAACTGCAGGCATGCATCTCTCTTTCAGGTTGCTAAAGACACAGTCATTAGAGTGGTTCTACACTAATGTGAAGAAACGCTTCAAACGGTTTGGGAGCGTCAAAGTGTTGAAGACTCTCTACAGGAGACACCTGGCGGAGCACAGTGCGCTGTCACAGCTTGCTGGTAAACCACCCTGTGCATGAATGTTGTTGCTAAAACCTGTTGTCATTAACTTTATTATATTAGTCAAACTCTTGCTTGAAATTAAGGGTAAACCTGTAGGTGACAGAAACACACTGGTGAACCTGTCTCATGTGGCACATGTTGGAAATACATCTGAACAGGCTCTAGACTCCTGTATAAGACCAGGCCAGAGCTTTTCTACAAGCCTGATCCTTCATTAAACACTTTACTTTCATGATATGTATTTGCATAAGAGACTGTCTCGATTTAGTTGTGAATTTTTCTGATTTTTGCTGTTTCATACCTCAAAGCTGTGGATAACAGGCAGTTAGGAGGAGGGTGAGACAGGATGAAGCTCTTGCTTGGCTTTCATCTCACATAACTTCAGCAGATTACTCTGGCTGCTGCCGGACTAAGTATATTCATGTTTGTTTGTTTCCTCCATATCATCCCTCGGCACAGAATAAGAGTCTGTGCTGCTCTGTTTGGGGTGTTGTATAGTGTATGAGATTTTTGTGCCCATTTTTAAAATTTTATTTAACCAGGAAAAACCTCATTGAGATTAAAAATCTCTTTCAAGGGGGTCCTAGCTCCATTTGTAGAGGGTTTCATCTCTGAGGAGCTGCATAACAAAAGGCTCGTTTTAACCTTTGGTACAGTTGGCGTTATGTTCTGTCATCGAAGAGCATAAGAATTTCATGTATGCATGTGCACAGATAAGCTGGTAAAAGGCCTCTTTAAATAAAATGACACAATGGAGAAGAGCTCAGGGAGGTCCAACCAACACAAGCATAGAGTACAGAATAAGAACAGTGTTACATAGAGTTTAAAGAATACAAACACTGAGAAGAAGCACTTGTATACAAGACGTCTCCATAACCAGTCAGGGGCATAAACATTGCAGACACTGACCTTTTCTTTGCATTGAAAGAAAAGCAACCAGCTTAATCATCAGCTGTTTTACCAGAGACTCAATATAAAGTTTAAAAGAAAGACAGTTGTCTGGTAAGATTCCAAGATGCATAAACATCACTGGTGCTGTGCAAAATTATTTTGAGTACAGCTGAAAAGATTAGTTAATTGACTGAGATCGTTCCTTTTCTAATTGCAGTGAATATCAACTATTTTGATGATTTTATGAATAGCTTAAGTAACTGCTCATGCATAAATGGTAAAAAAAAATCACTGATTCCAGCTTCTCCATTGTGAATATTTAGATTTTTCTTAATTTTCCATGATTGTAAGTGAAATGTCTTTGAATCTTAGATAAAACATTTTAAAGCATTACCAGGAGCTCTGGGAACCTGTGATGGATATGGGCCGACACGGAGCAAATAAACTGACTAAACTGAGACAATCATTAGTGTTAGTCCTAAACTTTTAATGTGTTTCATTTACAATTTCTTTCCTTGTTTTACAAAACTGAGCTGCAAACTTGTAAAACTCTGTTTTTAAAGCTGCAGTAAATCAGTATTTTCATATTAACAATAAATCAAATCATGTCTCTGAGGAAAAAAAAAAGCTGCCTAATTATCACCCAGCTCTGTAGTTTGGACATAGCAGGCAGCGCTATAAACCCACTGTTCACTGTATCTGAGCATTTAGCAGCTGAACAGTCAGATATCATTGTACTTAAATTCACCAGATGGCCAGAGACGACTCCACATGAATGATAAAGATGGTCCATATCATTAGGCTGATTAAATGGGCAGCTGCTTGCTAATGCCGTCGCCATATTAACTTTGAGATATGACGTTTCTGTGTTTACAGCTTGTTGCGCTGCCCCCAAGTGCACATATTATCAGTCTGTCAGGTTCAGTTTAGTAAAAAAACAAAACAAAAACAAACTAGCCTTTACAAACATTGCACATATGGATTGTACAGTAGTTAAGCAGCCAGTTATTAGAGCATTGTTTCTGTGGCTTTCACTCTCTTTATTGTGCTTTTAATGAGACAGTAGTTCACTTGAGTCACTGCTCAGCTGACAACAGAGCTGAATCAGCAGTGGGGGGGGGGCTCATTGATTCAGTCAGTGACCACAGTGATTGTTTACTATGAACATGTGTCAATAAAGATTTGTTTATTCACTCTGTTTAATACATGTAGTAGTTGAACGAATTTCTCAAGGTTCATGTACGTTTTTTTTTTTTTCACCAAAGCTTTTAATTTACATGTGATGCTATAAAAATGGGTGTTTTTAATTAATGTAAATCACAATTTCTAGGTGGATAATTTTAATGTTTTGCACACTAAATATGTTATTGTCTCATAGTTGGACATCACAAGACACTGTCCAGATTTAGGAGGAAGTATTATCAATCCTATTCCCTCCACTGTGTCGAGGGAATAGCTGCACAGCTTGTTAAGAAGCTGGCGGCTAATACCGGCAGGGTTCGGAGCTTTGCTGGAGCCAGCCATGCTGAAAATGTATTCGTAGTACTGTACAGTGAGTGTTCAGCCAGCATGCTCCAGCATGTAGGTCTAGAAAGGGATGGAGTGGTGCAGACGGAGGAGTGCATCTCCAGGCCATTAGTTCACAGTCTCTGATCTCATTGAACAGACAGGGATTTCAGAGAATTGTGTGTTTTTTGGAGGAGAGGGCGCTGGCTGCAGATGATGCAGTGCTGTGACCCTTGTGGGAGGACGACTGATGTGTTCTGGCATCATGCCACCACTCAGCGTCTCATTTAGCACATGCTGTATCCTACATTTTAATTTGTTTATGACTGACCTGCGCTGATTCATCTGTTTATTCAGCTGCCAAATCCAATCTGCATGGTCTGACTCATGGAAAGCCCCACTAATGTTAATTTACATAAGAACAATGCGAGTTGCACAAATGGCAGCAGAATTAATAGAGCTGACATTTGGCAACCTAAAGCCGTGGGCATCATCATGTGTGACGTTCATATTGTAGCAAAGCATTTAGCCTCAAGACTGTCAGATACAGCCCAGGGACTCAACAGTGCTCAGAGGCGTCCTTCTCGGAAAAGCAAGATGTGACCTTGAGGAGCAGAGCAAAGGGAGGAGAGAACATAAAGTGTACATCATAATTGCTAATGATATTAAACCATAAATCGCTATTTTGTGAGGTATTAAAGTTGCAGCCATTTTGTTCATTTATCATTCACTTTTTGACTTGAATTGGGTAAAAAGAACCTCCAACAAATCAACATCATGGGTATCTCATTAATGTTAGGTGTAAGTACCTTCTGTGACTGACCTGCTCATGGATATGTGGATCGTGTGAGGAGGACATGTGAGTAGGCACTGCTTCTCTCTAAAGGTTACAAGCCAGAGACTTGAGCCTACATGAACTGACAAACCATTACCAGCATTATTATTACAAATGCAGAGTGTACAAGTAAGGCGATTGTGACATTGTGGGCGTTGATGGTGCATTTCATCAGCCTCCTGAACCAAATTTTCAATTTTCTTGAGAATTCTCAAGAATTGTCATTCTTGCATCAAGAATGACTTGGCAGCTGTGACTATCGCCATGATCTGAGTTAACCCTCCATCATATGATGCACATCACATTAGTACTGTGTTCGTATGTGGACACATGATACAGTGACATACCTGTGTGCTGCTGTCAGTTCTTCCTCACTTTCCCGTGGTACCTTCAGGGTTACCGTGACCATCAACTGCTGTGGTAGAGGCGACTGTATTGGTCATGAACTGTTTCATGTCCCTGTGCTGGGGCCAAATGTGTCCTGACTCAGTAACTGTTAGAGCACAGCAGATGTCTGCACACCTTCTGTGAGGGGGGTCACAGGAACAAAAGCCATGCTTCAGCCACTGAAATACAAAGATCCTTAGTTGGTCTTCATTTCCCATATACAGTATGTCAGTGAACTTGTGCCCGTGTTTGTGAGTGAGAGGGCTCTTAGAATCAGTGGAGTGTTATCCATGTTTTCAAATTAATCTACAAGTTATATTACTTGGTTTAAATCCTCTTTGGCTCCTAAAATGATTGTAAGTGACCTCGTCTACTCTTCTGTGCTTCAGACAGCCGCGTACAGATCAGGCTGCCTGGTATTACAAAGCAGGTGGCTGCTCTAATGTACTTGTATAACCACAAATAGTTGCATGAATATTTAGATGTGAAAAGAGCTCAAAGCTCACAGCTGGGAGGAGAAACTATCTACATGTACAGGCACAAACACTAAAATAAAATTTAACATCTCAGACCTCAGAAGGCAGAGATACCATGCAGTAGGTTTTACGATTCATGTTTACTTCAGTCCTTTTAACATTCAATGCATAATTGTACTTTCTTAATTCAGTTTGAGTATATATATTTTGTTACTTACAAATTAATGCTACATTTTAATGGAGTAACCGATTGTTAATATTTTATTCAAGTCTCACACACCCTCCATTGTTCTGTTCATCCCTTTGTTTACTCTAAAACATTTACCCTGACCCAGTTTCAGGTTCATTTCATGTGAATATACTGTATCTGTGTTTTCACGTATTTGTCTAATTCTCTGATCTGTGCGTGCGTGTGCATGTGCAGAGGGCAGCGCCTACGAGGAGAGCGTCTGCAATGAGGGCAGCGTCTGTGGGAGCGACTCAACCTTCTACAGACTAAGTCGAGGTGCAGATGTATTTTACGATTTCACAGTTTGCTCCCTCTGGGGCATTGCCTTTGTCAATAATCCGATGTTCCTGTAGTAAATGCTTCTGAGGCCACATTATCCAGTTCAAGGTTATTTGGGGGTCTGTTTAATCCTTGTGTTATCCATAAGGTTTTACAGTATTTATTCACATGCAGCTAATAGTTTGCGGTAGAAAAATTGATATTTGTAATCATCTGTCGCAGATTACAAACTACATCTCAAATTGCTCTGTCCCACCCTCGCAGCCTTCCTCTGTGTGCTGACCTGCCCTCCCTTCTCCTCACTCTCCCAGTTTACTGCGCTAACATGAATGAAAAGCTGCAGCAACCTCATGGCTATGCTTTTATCTGTAGTGCCTCTAACATGTACAACAGAGAAGTAACGTATGGCTTGAAAAGGATGCAGTTACTCATTCCTGGTTTTTGTAACTGCAATGAGTGATAATTCAGATAATGAAAAAGCAAGTGATTGTTGTGTTTCTTTGTGTTCAGAGCACAGCATGGCAGAGATGCTCACCGTGGCCTTGCAAGTGGCGGAGGAGGCCATAGACGAGGCCATTTCCAAGGCTGAGTTCGACACTGCCAGTCAGGTTATTAATGTTGCTCATGTTTTATACATAGCTTGTTATCAAAAAGAACCATTTATTATTCATTTTATCTATGCACACTGCATCATATACTCTGTTACAAAAACAATTGGCTCTGGGTTCAAATGTTAAATTAATGTAATTAGTTTTTTCTGTAAATGGTTCTCTGGTTTCATCTGTGGTTCTGCAGCTGCTCTTGCAAACACAGCTGTGTGTTGTATATTTAACTTCTCACTAATCTGTTAAAATATCCCAAAGTGTTTGAACTGAGTACAACAAATATGCACATTTAGATGAATAATCAGCTTATAGTGTGTGTGGTGCTGAGTAGGTCTCTTATTTGTGCATTTGTTTGCTTACTAGGAGAAGCAGAATGAGACGCACTATCTGCAGCAGCACAGACGAGAGCTCATTGAGGAACTGGCCAAAACTATTGTGCACAAAGTAAGAAAAGCAGTCTGAGCTGCAAGCCCTCATTTCGCTTAGTACCAGATGTTGTTAAGTTTGTAATGAGGTTGATTTACTGTGTGTGAAAAGCCATTATGACATTGACCAAGCGGGGTTTCCACAGCTGTTCATACGTCCTGTACATAAGAAAATGAAAGCATTAACTTGTACTGAATAATGAGAAACAGCAGGTTTTTTTTTTGTTTTACATACTGGTGTGCGATCACAGTCATAAGCAGAACTAATCCTGTCTCTGTGTCTGTAAGATTATTAGTAAGAGGAAGACTTTGGCTGAGATGAGGACAGATTACGACCAGGACTGGCCCCTCAAAGAAAACCCTGACCTTCATCATCCTCAGCCCACCTGTGATCAAGCCTCCAGCTCCCTGAAACACCAGCCAGGCCTCTGGGTAATAAAAAAAAAAAGTTTCAGAGTCACAACCACCTAAGTTGCGGCTGTCTGTGTTTATCTGAGTGTGTTTGCTGCATGACAGATCCTCTTATCTTCTTGGTGACATATGCTGACCTCTGCTGGTTAATCTTTTTTGATTTGATTTGATTTGATTTGTCCCTTTACAAACAGAAGAACAGGAGTGTTGGTTTTGTTTTAACACTTTTTATTTGTGCGATGTGTCTCTTCAGAGGTCACACTCTGCCTGCTCTCTGTTGGACAACAAGCCTCCTGGTCTGATACAAGACTCTTCTCAGGTGTGTCAGAAGGAAGGTTGTGCCTCGGCTCTGTCTACATGGAAGAGTGTTGATCTGTTGGATAACGCTGGTAAGAAACCGTCGCTTTAACTAGCAGGTCAACCATTATGGTCAAACACCCAAAACTAGATTATAGCTGAGATCCCAAAGTTTTCAAAGATGCCAAATACATCAGGGTGAATTTTTTTAATGTATAAAATGTATTTTTTATGGATCTATCTCTTCATGATTTGATTATTGTAACAGCATCTTCACTTGTCTCTGATTCATTCTACAGAACATGACCACGTCATTGTTTTAGCTTCTTTATGCTGGCTTCCAGTATGGTTCAGAATATATTTTACCTTTCAGATCTTAGCCCTGGGTGCTTCTGCGCCTTGGCCATAAACATCTTAAGGGTAAAGGTTTCTCCTAACTGGCAGAGTTAGAGGAAACTTCTAAAAAATAAACTCCTTTAGGACTTAGAGGTTTTTTTGTTTGATAGCATTGACAATGGCTCCTACTGTACAACAAGTCTGAGAGACAATAGATTCAGTTCAGGGGACACCAGGTCACTAAGACCTGCTCACAGTCGGTCAGCTGCTGTAGGCAATGCACTGTGTTGCACCAGTGAATCAGAGTCAGCTTTATTGGCCAGGTGCGTTGGACATGCGAGGAATTTGACTCTGGTACAGCAGCTCTCAGTGTGCATGTGCATTGCTCTTCTGTGAAGCAATGAGTAGACAAGTAAACAAGACAGAGAACAAAAAAAGAAAAGGGATGTGCAAGAAAAGCAATGTGCATGAGGAAATTAAAGTACATATATACACACAGCTTTGGTGGAGTTTTTTTAGATAGATATATACAAACGTATATTTACAGGTACTTAAACAGTCATGGGTTAAGTGTTCATCAGTGACGGCCTAGGGGAAGGAGCTGTCCTTATGTTTGGTTGTTTTGCCATACAGTGACCTGTAGCACACTGTCCTTATGTTTGGTTGTTTTGCAGTGACCTGTAGCACCATCCAGAGGGGAGGAGCTTAAACATTTTGTGTCCAGGGTGTGAGGGGTCTGCAGAAATCCTCTCTGCCCTTCTTTTGACCCATGAGGTATACAGGTCTTCCATGGTGGGCAGGCTGGCACCGATGATTCTCTCTGCAGTCATGACTGTCTTCTAGAGTCTGTTGCTGATGTCAGCAAGTTACTAAAGATCTATTTGTGTCTGTGTTCCTGTGTGTGCATGCTTGCGTATGGAGTTGTGTCCTCACTGCAGAAGAGCCCAGACGGGAACTGGATCACCCTGCAGAGCACCCAGCTGTCTCATACCGGCCTGTTGACCAGAAAGAAGGGCCTGGTCTACAGCACCTTGGAGAGGGAGTCTGGAGTGGTGTCTGCCTACGAGGGCTTGGACTCTGATGAGTCTGAGCCTGACAGCTCTTGGGGTGCAATGCTCCAGGAGATCCACAGGAAGATGATGGACTCCAACCTCAACCTGCAGGACTCCCGAGACAGGATCCAGTTGTCTCTGATGGGATGCCAAGGCAGCAGAGACCATCTGTTTTCAGACTCTGAGAGGAACTGGATGTCAAATAAACCTCTGCTTGCTGAATTTAAGAGGGAGTTGCCTGCAGAGGTCAGGCGAACTTCATCGTCCTGCAGGACAAACATCATCGATGTGAACGTTAACATCGAAGGGGCAGGAGAGAAGGAGCAGAGCAGTGTGGCTCCCGAACCAAAGGTGGGGAGATTCAAGAGATCACGGAAGAAAAGGAGGGGTAAAAAACAGCAAGCAGCGTCTCCTTGTGTGTCGGTAAGAAATGAATCTCATTAAACTACAAACAGAATCTCTTAGTGATTCATACTGTATGTGGACTTTGGGCCGCTCAGAAGGCAGAGTTTTGCACTGGAACATGTTAAATTTCTTGTTAAAGCTTCTGAAGTCTGGATTACATTTTCTTTCAGTCTATAAAAAAATAGCAGTAAAGCTATTGAAATTGGAAAGCTGAACTGAAACAATAAGCTAATCCAATTACTCAACCGCAGAATTTGAATGTGCATTGGTAAAATACTGATCAGTTGTTTAACCAACCAAAAACAACACATACTCTCAAAATGGGAAGAATCTGTTTTAAATTTAATATGTTGGCCTGTTTATGTTTATGCTGTTTTAGCCTGTTTGAAAGTGTCAAAACCTGTAATAGACATTTTTGGACATTTTGGTGAGAAAATGATTGGTCAAAATATCAGATTCTTTGGTTGTAAAATAATTTAGTTGCCACCCTAAATTCTTTTATGGACTCGTTATAAAGCTACCTGCCTCCTTGACTTTGGTATTAACACAGTAGACAAAATTTTAGAAGCTTCTCTCAATATGACATAATTCAGTTCAACAGCACCACAAACCAGAAGCTCAAAATGCTGATTTTGCTCAAACTCTACAGCGGCTATGGGCATTATGGAAAACTATACTTAATTCAGCACACTTTTAAACCTTGGATTTCTTTTAATGACAGGATATAAAGAAAAAAGACAACCAATCCCAATATCCTTCTGATGCTGTGACCCCTGACACTTTGACTTCTGGAGCTATAACCCCTGAACCTTGTGACCTTGGGAGTGACCTCACCAGACATGGAGCCAATCGTATGGATGAGGAGCTTGAGTTAAAACTTCAGCAGCTTGCAGGTCGAGTTTCTGACTTCCCCACTCGACAAGAAGAACGTGATAAAGACGGAGATGACGGTGCTGGTGATGAGCAGATGGTGGAAAGGAGACAAGGAGGTGAGGACAGAGATGAAAGGCCATGTAACATGGAGATTGACTTGGGTGAAGGAAGTACAGAGGAGGGAGAGCAAGATTTAGAAGCAGATGACGAAGAGATGAAATATAGATTATACAAACTTGTCAAACAGTCCAGACTCTCATACTTCTCCTCTACTGATGACGAGTTAGTTGGCCAGAGGGAAGGAGACAAGGATGAAGACATGGAGGAGGAAAAGATGGAAGGACTCGCTCACAAGCTCTGTCAGCTAGAAAAAGAAGTCAGAGCTACGCAGTTGTCATCTACAGAGGACGACCTGGACACGGCAGAGAGAGATGAAGCGATAGATGAGGAGACACGGTGGAAGTTAGAGGCAGAAAAAGCAGCTGAGGCCGCTCAGCTGAGAGACTTGGCCAGTCTGTTTTCTTCCACTGAGGATAAGCTGGAGAGAGTTGAGGAGCAAAACATAAATGAAGGAGGAATCAAGAGCAGCACTGAGATGGCAGAACTGTGGGGAGGAGCAGTGGAGAGGAGAGAATCGTTCACAGATTTGGATGTGAAAATGTTTGATTTCAGGGAAGAATTGGAGGAAATGACAAATGAGTGTAAAGATAAAGTAACAACTCAGAATAGTTTGGGCTGCCAGATTATGACAGATGTCCACGAAGGCAAACCAAAGGTAGAAGCACCTGGAAAGATGTATCTCTTCAAATACAAAGTAAGAACAGCAGTTGTTGAGGAAAATGTATGTGAAGAACAACTGGAAGACACAGCTGAAAAAGCAAAAGAGTCGGAGGAAACACAAGGTCGGAAGTTAATAACAGTGGCTACAGTGAAAATGTTAGAAGAAACTGAGGGGATAGATTTAAATGAGACAAGAGTGAAACAAGAAAACCCGCCAGAGGCAAAGTGGCCAGATGAAAAGGAAGGAGAAGGAAAAGAAAAAGTTAAAGAAAGAAAAGAGAGTCTGTGGGAAATGGCAGCAGACAGCAATGAAGAAGACGAAGAATTTGACCGAAGAATCAGCAGCATGTTGATGATGCGTTTGGAGGACACACAGGCAGAAACATTTAAAGATGAAAATGGGAGAACAAGTAGAGAGTTAGAGGACAGTGGATTCAGAGAGAAGGTCGTTGATGCACAGAATACAAATTCATCAGAGGAAACAGGAAGTGCAAACGAGTTTCAAAGTCGAGGTGACAAAAATGTCAAAGACAGACCGAGAGAAAGAACTGAGCAAAGTGGAGAATTTTCCAGAAAAAAGGAGAGTGAAGATGCAATGAGTAGAATTGAAAATGAGCAGGAAGAAAGAGATACAGATTCACAAGAAAGAGGAAATTTAGCAAAAGAAAAATCTGTGGTTCCAACAGTCGAACAAAATGAGGCCGAACGAACATGTACAAGAACAGAAGTGGATGTTGAGGAACAACAGAACAGAAAAGGGAGAATGACGCCTGAGTGTCAAACGATGGAGATGAGGGGAGTTGCTACAGAAGGAGAGCACAGAGACAGAGATGAAAAACCGGAGGAAACCGACAGAAATGCAGACGAGTTGGAGCAGAGCAGCACATCTTCTCTTCAGGAGGGTTTCCTGTCACCACAGGAGATTCGAAATGTAAGCAGCTTTGGTTTTCCTTGTTTCCTTGACGCATTTAATAATTCCATGAGGAACTTAAAGCTTTTTTTTTAACAGTAACGAAGTATTTTCTCTTAATCGTTTAAAACATGACCAGAAAATATTCACTGCAGTGTAACTAACTCCTCCTCTGTCTACTACTTGTCTGACTGTCCTGTTTCTTCTCTGTTCGCTTTAGCGTAGTGACATGGAGCTTTACAGACTAATAGAGTTTATATCTGTTCTGTTGGACCAGGCAAGAATTAAGTTCTTCTCACGTTGTTTTCATGCAACTCCTTAATTAAGTTTTGTCATTTTATTGTCACTGTGCAGCAGCAGCTGCTCACATGTTGAGTCACACTGATGTGTCATCAGGTGGTCTGTGCTGGCCATTTATTACCCTGTCAGGTATCAACCAGTCATGTTAACAACTTCAATACTGTCAAAATAATATATTTTAGTAACATTTTAATTATCTTCAATAATAGGGATGTTTTTTTATCTATCCATGTATTCAAGAGGATCAAGAGTGTTCGCTGCTAATCCTTTAACAAAATCTCATTAAGTGAACAGCGTCAGTATGATCAAAACGCCGCAGGATGTCCTAAGAATCAACATTTAATACATTCTAGAGACGGGAGTGTAGGAAATTAAATCAAAAGTCCTGAATCCCTGCACGCTGCCAGGCTTCATTAGAAACCCCATCTAAGAATAATCCTGAGTAAAAGTTGATTCCTCGTCATCTTTCTAACATAAAGAGGGTCAAATATACTTATCATAATACTGCAAAATGTAAAGTTCTACAAAGATATGAGTCACCTGTCTTTGTGTGTGTGATGTTGTAGAGATATTCAGCGGTGTCTCTGTGCAGCATCACCACGGAGGTGCTGAAGGTGCTGAACGCCACCGAGGAGCTGCTGCTGGGAGTGGAGGGAGGAGACAGACCCCAACTGTCCACCACCTCACTGCTCCCCAGCAGCAACCCCAAAAAGCTGGATCAGCAGTTCTCCAGACTGGAGGAGAATGTAAGTTTGTCAGTTCACATTTTATTTGCTTCTCATTGGAAGATACCAGAAAACTACTGGGCTTTTTGATCTGAGCAGTTTTAGTTGTAAGGATTATTGCACACCAGTGAGTTGATCATATGCATGTGGTGAAATACTTGATAGCAAGTGAGCAGTATCTATTTCACACTTTGAAATACTACGAAACGCTAATAAATGGCAGTGTTATGTGCTCCATACAGTGGTTTTCAAACTTTTTGTGCCAAAGGCACACCAAAGGGCGAGCCAAAATAGCAAGGAACACCTGTATTCATACCATGTTATCAGCCTCGTCAGTCTGTAAATGTTTTACTTATGACAAAATGAGTGTCAGAGAGGAGGGGTAGATCTAGCATGACAGGGAACCATCACTGGACCAAGCATGCCATCTGCAAATCTTCTTGCAAGTGGGGAGGATGTGTGTCTCTGCTGACACGTGAAGATTCATTTAATTTGCAATATGCTCCACTAGCATATAGCTTGCCTCCATTGCCTTATCAGACAATTTCACACAATCCTACAAGACGTCTTGCTGCCTCTGCTCTCATGCTCCTAGGCCATGTTTTTCTCATCATAGAAGAGATGTTTGGTTTCGAAGTGCCTCTTCAGCCTGCTTGGCACCACATGAGCATTAGGTAACTTCTCCTGACAGATGACGCACTCGGGCTGACGGCTGATGCTGCCTATTGCCAGTTTTTGTCCTTTTTTTTGAGGTGGTTCTTTTAGGCTATAGGATTTGCCTCTGAATTAGGAAATGAGTGTGTACAAAGTATTTACTGCAGTACTAATGTACGGTTGTCACAAAATCCCACGGCACACCTGGACTTGCCTCAGGGCACGCCATTTGGGAACCACTGGTGTGGAATATGCCAGACTGGACACATGCCTAGCAGGTTGCTAAATTACCGATGAGGACTCCCAGTGGCAAATTTTTCAGTGAATCTTGTGCTTACACTGCAGGTGTATGTGGCAGCGGGTTCAGTGTACAGTCTGGAGGCGGAGCTGAGTGACCTGGAGGAGTGTGCCAGGGGAATCTGTGGCGCCACCTCGGATGCGGAGCTGTCCTTCCTGGAGGAGCAGGTGGCGTCAGCGGCCGCCATGGTCCAACAGTCGGAGCTACAGGTGGGAAGTGTGCATTTTGGTTTAATTCAGAGCTATCTATGGCTGAGACAGTTTGGGTTCATTAGCACTGCAGAACTGTACAAGCCATCATATTTGGTGTTACTGGAGTCTGACTTGGTCGTGAGCCAGCTCAGTATTAACATGCCACCAACAAAATACACAACCAGTCAAAAGTTTTAGAACACACCAGTTTTTGTTTTTATTGTTCAAGCTAATAAATAAACTGCCAGAGGTTAAAAAAAAAAAAAGCAAAATGTTTGTATAATAGCTTCCATTTTTGTAGTGAAGGTGAATTAGGCCCTGAAAATTGAAGCAAACTGCTCCTACAGGTGGCCCAGCTTTGAAAAATGGAGGTGTCCTAAAACCTTTGATATTTGAAAGTGTATTATTGCTATATTTTTCTACAGCAGTTACTTGAGCAAGCAATTTACTTTAATTTAAGACAAATTTTTGAGCTGGTCATTGACTGCCTTTAACTTCTCTCAGGTTCGGGAGCTACTTTTAATGCTGACAAGTTTGACCTTTAAGCAGTGTCTCCTAACTCAGCCAGTCAAAGCTACAGTACACCCAGCAACACTAAATGCTCTGTAAAAAAAGAACTTGAAATCTGGAGGTATATAGAATTTTGTCATGATTGGTCTTACATTTGCAACCAAACTGATTTTATTGTAACACCAGACTGATCTTAAATCAAACTATTTTGGTTCTGCCCTAGATCGGTGACATCTCTGCAAGAATTGCTGCTTTGAAGAATGAAGGCCTCAATGTGGATACACAGTCACATTTCACCAAAACCAGGACCATTCCAGTAATGGTACAGTACCCATTTGTATTCTTGTACATCCAGTAGTACCCCAACTACTATAACTTTCAGACAAGTCAACAAAACTTTATTTTTCTTAGCCTGTCACCCTGAACTCATCAAGACAACTGAGGCGGCGGTTACCTGCACCACCAGTGAAGGGTGAGAAAGTCTATCACACATTGGTTTTGACAAGTCCCTGCAGGTCCTGGCAACAATACTGGCGTACAAATGCAAATTTCAGTCCAGCATTGTAGTAGGTGCAGCATTTTGAATTCAGTTTAATATTTTGAAATATAAGAAATATTTGTACAAGTGCTACTTGTCTAAAGGTTGTCTTATTAACCCTGATCATTCTGTACTTGAATTATAAATTAATATAATGCTGTTTTTCCTCAGAAGAAGCAGAAACCTGAATCATGGAGCCAGGGCTATCGCAGTGCCTTGACCTGGTCACTCTGCAGCCACAGGCCAGTCTTAAAGGATCAGTGCAGACACTATTTTGCCTTATTTTTATCCCACACTACATGTGCTTCAGATGATACAGGACACTAGCACTGTATGCAGATTGTGTAGTTGTGAAGAGCAAAGCTGTAGGAGTGTTTCATACACAGGATTAGGTTCAGTAATCACTGTTCTAGTGCAATCTTGTCAGAAATGTAATGTAGATAACTCCTTTTTTATTTTTAGATTGGTGAACAAACATTATTGAAACTTTCAGTACTGAGCAGGTAAACCCTGAGTTTATTCAATGTCACAGCAAGAAAATTACTGTTTATTTTTCGAAATTATTTAATCCAGTATGTTTTAAACTTTTTATAGGCTTCCATTTAACAATGATGACCATATTTAACTTGCAGATGAGTAAGGATATAAAAATATTATTTTATTATGACTACAAGTTAGCAGCAGCACAGCTACTGGCTAGAACTTGATGACAGTTTTTGCTGCATATCAAAAACGTACATGGAGACAATTATAGCACATCAGGCAACATTTTACCAAGTCAAATCAGTAATAGGGATAATACACCAATCAGGTATAACATTATGACCACCTGTACATCTGTAAGCACTTCAATGTAACACTTCTGCCTTAACCTTTGTGTTCATGAAGCTCAAACTGTTTGGTTTGGGTGAGATTGTCAAATGTATAAATTCAGTTATGTTCATTATTGAGGTGTCTGTATATTCAGCTGTATTTTTTCCAAGGGTATTCATGTTCTTCGGTACATATTTGTACAGCAATACAAGTAGTAAATGCTTTTTTTTCCTGCCTTAATTATTAACTACAGAAGGTAAAGTGCTGGGAAACAGCAGTGAAAAGCCTCTGCACCTTTTCTGACCCTCAGACGAAGGTGGGTGTAAAGGTGAGGAATGTGGTTTGTTTTTTGAGATGAGGAAATGACACCCAAATATGACATTCCTCCATGGGAAGGTGGTGTGGGAACAACACAAAGCAGCTGTGGAAAAATAATCTTACAACAAACAGTGAGCAACGTCACCTCTCGTTCTCCAAGTGGGTTCCCATCCACTACCGTTAACCAAATATTGGAAGACAATTAGACTGGAAGATGCCAGTGTGGTGTTGCTTCAGTGGGAAAAAGTAACACTACCACACTTCCTCAAAGCCAGAGACTTGTTTAAAAAAACAAGTCAGTCCAGCTTTCACTCTTCATCAGCTCAGACTCAAAATGTAAATGTCACTTCGCACTCATTTCTCTCTCTAACCACCAATGGGACGCTTAGGCTCTTTGACTGGGCATTATCAAGTGACTGGGCTGTTAGTGGTCAGAGAAATAAATGGGTGTGACCATGAACTTTAACATTTTGAATCTGAGGATTCAAAACTGGACTGAAACGTTGTCATTTGTTGTTGAATAAACCTCTGGCTTTGGAGGAAGTGGGCAAGTGTTAAGTTTTACCACTGATGCTGTTTTGAATAGCTTGGTACCTATTAGCCCCAGCTCCCTGCCGTGAGCATTTGAAATTGAAACTGAACGTTTTAACCCCATACCATCATTTCATAACACACAGGTTCTGAGAAAATTTCTCGAATCTTCAAACTCCAACAATAGAGAATCAAAAGTCGTCTGGTCCAGGAAAAATGTCAGTTTTTTGAAGGATTTTGTTGGCTTTGCTGAAGATGGCGACGGGAAATGGCGTCTCAGCACAGCACCACCAGGGGTCAGCTGCAACTTTTTTACAGTCAGATGTGCTCTGCAAAAGTGATGTCAGTGGTTTGTGTCTTTCTGAAGAAAACGATGACCATGGTGCTGCCTAAAAATTAATCATCATGCTCATTGTTTCCTTCAGAAAGACACAAACCACTGATATCACTTTCGCAGAACATGTCGGACTGTGTAAACCAGGGGTGGCCAATTCCAGTCCTCGAGGGCCGCTGTCCTGTTTGTTTTCCAACTATCCCTGGCTCACCTGGCTCAGGTGTGTTCAGCCAGTCAGAAGCTGGAAGATACCAATTCACTTTCCTTCCTCATTCCACTTTCATCTAAGATGGTATCTTCCAGCTTCTGACTGGCTAAACACACGTGAGCCAGGTAATCAGCAGCAGGTGAGCCAGGGATAGTTGGAAAACAAACAGGACAGCGGCCCTCGAGGACTCGAACTGGCCACCCCTGGTGTAAATGGTAAGTCGCAGCTGGTGGCGCTGTGCTGGACCTTCGGCATCAGCGAGAGAGAGAACATTTCCAGTCACCATCTCAACTCTTCAGTGAAGCCAACAGAATCCTGCCAAAAAAACTGATAAGATTTACATTTTTCCTGGATCAGACCAGACAACTTGATTCCGTATCATTGGTTTCGGGAAAAACCTTCATAATATGGGTTAGCGTTATGAAACGACAGTATGGAGTTAAAAATGTTTGGAAAGTTTCAATTTCGAATGCTCACAACGGCTCAGCTCTGACTCATGTATGCAACTATTGTTTCTTGCTGCTAATGTATAAATTCAAGTTTATGTTCACTCTTGAAGTCAGTTAAAGGTGGTGGTGTACTGGACTACATTATATTCAGAGGTGTTCCTAATATTCTGCCCCTCTCATATGTCAATGGGCAGGACAAAAAATAGACACCTCTGAATACAGTGTAGTCCAATACAACACCACCTTTAACTAGGACCTCAATAATGAACATATAATTGAATTTATACATTTATGACAATCTCACCAAACACAAACGTTAAGGCGGAAGTGTTGCATTGAAGTGCTTACAGATGTACAGGTGGTCATAATGTTATACCTGATTGGTGCAAGCAACTGTTAAACAAGGAAAAGTCTCAGCATTCAAGCTAGAAATGCTAACTCACACAGAACCAACGGTCTCCAAAGGCCTCTGGGATATGTAGTGTCAGTTAGGAGCTCTCTGAGATTAGGAAGCACTCCTTCTGGTCAGGAACAATGAAGCCTTCTTTTTGCTCACTCTCTCTTCTGTCTGACATGACAAAAGCCTGTTTTGGATCGATGACCACCAGGCTGTCTTTGTCCTGATTGGGAGCCTCCACCTCCGCGTATGAAGGACGACCGGACCCTCGTCTGAACTTCACGATTGGCCAGTGGGTTGGGCGCCGCTGTGGGAGGGCAAGGACATAACATGTCAGGTTAATTCTGAAATCTTGTTCTGGGGTGAATTAGTTCTTGCACTCATTACTGCTCACTAACAAATGCTAATAAAAGTCAAAATCAGTGCCCACTTTATTAGATACACCTATTCTGCCCAAAGGTTTACTCGTGATCCCTATAATGTTCGGTTTTTGTTGATGTTATACAGGGCTGCCTTATAGTTTCGATTTACGCTGCCCATTCATGTCTGTAAATGAGAGGACAAAAAAAAAAACATTTCTGTATAATGTGGTTCAGTACAACACCAGGACTAACTGGGACTTCAGTGCTAAAACTATTGAATTTACACATTTCCGATGATGTCAACAAAAACTGATCATCACTGACTTTGTTCAGGTAAAATGTATGGCAGAACTGTTGTATTACTACCAGATCTCATGGAAATCTGCCCACAGTAATATAATAAAAAGCTAAAATACATTTTCCCTGTGTGATGTGTGCATCTCCTTTGTTAAATATGCTATAATTTCACTGCTGGGCTTGAATATAACTTAAACCTCCAATATGGATTTGGGAAAGATCCTAAATTTTTTATTTTAATTGCACAAGAAGACACTTTATCTTCCTAATTAAAAATGTATGGTATAGGCTCAAGCAAGCTAAATTAACAGGTGTCTCGGGGAGGGGCATTATGAAGAACTTTAGGAGTCTAGCAGTTCTACATGGTTATTAGTACAGAGGTGTCACTAACCTCCATGAAGTAGAGGCTGGCCCTGGAGGTGGGGTGGCCGTACATGTAAATGGAGAGAAGGACAGCTGCTGCCATGATGACCATCATCATGACAATGCCCACAAGGAGACCGACCTGCAACTGCTCATCACTTGCTCCTGTGCTCCAGTCTTCTGCTGTACAGAGATGAGTGCTTCGATATAGACTCACCAGACAATCTCAAGGTTTGGGTACATCACATTCAAATATGACAGTCAATGACAGCTGTGCTCAAAGTTTCATGTACCAATAAAACAATATAATCACAGTCAAATGTTTGTCAAGAGCTTCATGCACTGCAAGTACGAAAAACGTCAAGGTGACGACAACATACCATAACCAAATGACAATTTTCCAAGTGAGATCTAGTGACATCTGCAACACAAACTGACTTGATGAATTCTGGATGTGGACAATGCTCAGCCCTCTGCAATAAACTTATTTTGCTATTCCCCCCCCCCCCAACACCAAAAAAAGCAAATTCAGCATCACTATAGTTTTGAGTTTGGTCGTCTTACCACAATGGTTAATTGTCTCTCAACTTGCCTCTTATTTCTTTGGAGCATTTTTTTCTAAACCATATTTGTTATAAAATTGGGAGCGTTTTCTTCAGTTGCAGTGCTTGGAGCTCTCTGGGCTCAGTGCTGTAGGTGACAAGGAATGACTTACATGCTTTGCCGACGTGGAATGAGATCTGTGCATCATCTAGGAAAAAAAACCCATGACATACTAATTTAAATTACATGAAATTCAGTATGATATGATAGTTCTACAAATACCATGTCATCCTTACAGGAGGACATCCAAAAGTTAAACTCTTTAATTACATTTTACTAATTATTGCAGTAGTTTTGATTTAACTTTTGTGTTTACTGAAGTTCTGTAGCATATTTGACTTCAGGTAAAATCTCAAACTGAACATCTTGCGTGCTCCTCACAAATGTTACAGATTGGATCCAAACTTTCCAATTGCAATCAACATTTCACTTGTGCTAGTTGTGCAATTATGTAATTTTAAAAAATGTGTACTTTTGAGTATGGCATTATAGACTGCTTTCAGCTTACAAATAGACCTTTTCCACAGCAGACACTGAGTTTTCACAGGTGTAGCTAACAACATTAGCAATAGCCGAGTTCCAGTGCCACTCAGCGAGCATGCACAATGACATAATCCTGGAAATTGGTCACATACTGTAAATGGAATGTAGCTGTCCGTGTGTGTTATTACATCTGTGCCTTTCCTACTATGACATGTCAAAATGTCTGCTGTGGAAAAAGGCCTATAGCCAACAATAACAGCTGTTCAATGTTCTGATCCAACTAGGACATATACATTGAGTCATCCTTCAGTAGCTGAGCACCCTATGCAGTATTTAACATGGCACTGTATGTGCTCAGCTATGAGCTGACAGAGGGCTGGGAAATAGCTGACCACTTGACCCTCACAGGACACACTGGGTGTGGATACTAGGCAGCAACAGCAAACACTTCATTCAGGAGATGGTAATGATGCCTCTTCAGGCTTGAGCTGTAATCAGCCTCAAGTCAGATCTGACTTTGTAGCATGCATAGAAACAAGATTCTTGCACCAAATGCTGTCTCAGACCGTTATCTACATCTCTATAGAAATGAGCAAATCCTGCTTTCACTACAAATGACCTCAAAATCTTTTATCAGCTCACCTTCTGCAGGTTTGTGGGTCAGAGGCTCTGGAGTGGATACTGCTTTTCTGCTTGCGCTGCTGTGTGTTGAGGAGTTGGAGACAGTGGAGGCGTTGCTGAGGGGGCTGAAGGTCATGCTGGGCCTCTCCTGCACTGTGGTTGCTGTAACTGGAGCAGACATGCGGGTGAGGTGTCGAGATGTGGTGTCTGTGATGTCTGTCTTCCGGTCACACAGAGGATCTGGTCTCTGGGTAAAGCAACACAACATCATTTGTGCAGAAAGACAGAAGTGGCACCAAGGTCCATCTGAGTTAATCTTTCAATAGTTTACTGAAATGATAAAACAGTGAGAACCTCCTCTGGGCAGCCACGGTCAACCCAGTCCTGCCGGTTACGATCAAAACCACTAGAGCACCTGAGAATGGAAGTAAATGTATTAAAATAACAATATCACATATAAGGAAGCACTATAGCAGCAGACAAAACGCATGTTCAGGAGTTCACCCTTCTTGGATTACTGCAGAATGAGTTCATCTACAAAGGCCAAACATTCCAAACAGGATTCATATCACAGATGCCATAACTGTGTATTTTAATGAATACAGATTAAAAAAAAAATCTCAAACCTTTTTCCAATTATAAAAACTGGTTTTCAGTGGTTTTGTAGTTTACCTCTGTAGCCGACTGCACCAGCTGCAGTTAAAGCCAATCTGAGAGGTGACACATGGACCACAGCTGGAGAACTGAAGGCAAGCTGAGAATAAAGAATGTGGAGGAAGAGATGTCTTTGGCTTCTGAGAATAAAACCTGAATGGCAAAGTAACGAGCTAAATATCATGGAACTTAGATGTGTACGAGTCGGGGGAGAACACGCAAATATGTTTTGCCATCTTTCTTTTAAAGTAGGATTAACTTACTAGGGAGAGGCAGCATCTCCACAGCTGTAGAGTTGGAGATTTTGGACTTGAGGATGTTGATTTTGTGATACTCATAAATAGTTGTCCTCCGAACATCTAGAGCAGAAAGGATGATTAGTTATTAGTGAGATCTACTGTTTTGTTTAAAAACAAATAACACATACAGTATAATTAAAACAATACTGATTTTACAGGTCTTAGTTTTTTTGTAAAATGAATGTGCCACTCACTAGGAATCTGCTCTATCTCATGAAGCACCACGAAGGCATCTGACAAGCCGACTTTGACAGGATGAGTCTCAGTGCTGATGCTGCCGATGTTGACAGGAATCTATGAAAGAAAAAAAAGCTGCAACATGAATTTTGCATTGAAAGAAAAGCATAAAGAGAAGAAAAGACACCTCTTTGTATGCAAAGACAATCCGTCCATCACTGTGCAAAACAGCCTGGAAGGTGAACATTCCCAGATTGATGCTGTCCTGGAGGTGAAGGCGGTTCCACTGGACGACCAGTGCGGTTCCTAAAAAGGCAGACATGAACACACATGCACAACCATGGGCATATGTTCAGTGTAAATATTGTACATCAGACCCACAAATGAAAAATCACAATTGTAATGCAAACTCTCTTACCATTGTCAAAGTAAAAAACTGTTGAGTTTTTGGAACGGTTCGAGACAAAGTTAGCCATCAGAGGGGCGATGTACTGAGTGGCTGTAAGCATCCAGTGCATTATGTCTCCAGTATAAATGAAACCTGGGAGGAAAACATACAGACGTCATCAGTAATAACAGGGAATGCAGAGAGACTTTAATAATATACAGTGCATCCAGAAAGTATTCACAGCACTTAACTTTTTCCACATTCTGCTAGGATACAGCCTTATTCAAAAATAGATTAAATTTATTATCATCCTCAAAATTCTACAAACAATACCCCATAATGACAATGTGAAAAAAGTTTGAAATCTTAGCAAATTTATTAAAAAAACAAAAAAAACATGTACATAATTATTCACAGCCTTTGCCATGACACTCAGAATTGAGCTCTGGTGCTTCCTGTTTCCACTGATCATCCTTGAGATGTTTCTACAACTTGATTGGAGTCCACCTGTGGGAAATTCACAAACCTTTTTCACGTTGTCATTATGGGGTATTGTTTGTAGAATTTTAAAGGACAATAATGAATTTAATCCATTTTGGAATAAAGCTGTAACATAACAAAAGTTAAGCACTGAATACTTTATGGATGCACTGTACCTCTGAACCACAGATGAGTCATGATACTCCTACCTACAGTACCAAAGCCCCCAGTTTTCATCCCCACAAACACACAGCATCACTTGTGATCATTGAGTGTTTTTCTATTGTATTTTGCAGGTAAAGACAAAGTTCTGCTGTTGTTCAAACAGATCCTAAACATCAGTATTTTGTTCATGCTGAAGAGATGAAGATAGCAGTGTGATTAAACTTACTTTACATTCAGCAGATCTACACAGGGATGATAGAATACAAGATATAGTATACTGAAAACCATGAAACAAAGCCTGTGATGCAGATTGTATTTCCTTAAAGCAGAGCTTGTCTGCTGTCAAATGTATTTGAATTGCTTTAATCTTTTAATTTTATATAGTAATATATACAGTATAATAGATCAAACTCCTACCTACAGATATGCCATTCTCTAAAAAAAAAAAAAAAAAAAAAAAAGACCCCTTTAGGCCCCTGGATCTTCATATGCCCAATTAATCCATCCACTTTATCAATCTTTTATGACCTCCGCAACAAGTTTCCATTTGATATGGTACTAAATAAGTTGTCCATACTATGTAAGAACTCATTATGTAGCTTTACAGTATATACAGTACAAAACTATGCTGAATAGTGACTGAGCCACACAATTCTGAGCTCTTAGCTTCTAGAAAACAGATTGTCTAATTAAAGACTCACCTCCTGTTGCAACTGTGATTTCTCTTAGAATATGACCATAAAAAGGAAAGTTGAAGGAAAGATTCACTCTCTGAAAGGAAAATGCAAAGTGCAGTATCAGCTGTATGTTAAAGATGATCAACCAGCACTGGTCAAGCACCCTGACAGCACATTTTGTTAGAATATTTATTTATGTACAGTAACTTTTGGGTCAATAAGAAGCCTCACTGCAATTGAGAATAAACAGCAACTGTAATATGTTTAATTTCTAATAAAAATACCCATATTATTTTGGTTATGAAATGAATGATGAATGAAAATACTTTTTTTCCACTCAGGAAAGTCAGGTATTTGTGAGGTATTTATTTAAGTGGCGCAAAACTCTGCTCATTTTCTTCACAGAGATAGATTTCATACCTCAGCCTGTCTGTGTGTGCTGGACAGGAAGGCATGGACCTTCCACTCATTTTCCTCTGTGCCATCAATGTTCACCCACAGCTCTTTATGGGCTGCGTCTCCAGGACCATAGATTTTAGATGTGTAGTAAGTGTGATCAGCGTCCTATCCAAAATGAAGGAATTACAGTGCATTAAACACGAATTATATCCCATCTTGTTTTTTTTTTTTTTTATCTTGTTTGGTCAAAAAGACAGAATACCAGCACCTTCTCTTTATTAAAGGAAAATGTACAATGACAGAAAATCTTACACACTTTCCCACTAAATTGAATGGGAAAGTGTGTTCTGACTTTTTATTGGTAGTGTATATACTGTATGTTGTGTCCAAAATCACTCCATCACTCATTCACGGCTCCCTGTATGGGTTCTCTCCAGGTACCCCTGCTTCCTGCCACAGTCCCAAGACATGCGGCTTAGGTTGACTGGTCCTAAATTGCCTGTAGGAGTGAGTGTGCATGTCTATCATGGTTTGTCTACATGTCTGCCTTGTGATAGACTGGCGACCTGTCCAGAGTAGACCCTGCCTCTTGTCCAGTGTCAGATGGGACTGGCAGAAGTAGTGTATATGATGTGCACATTACTTTTTACGCTCCATTGTGGAATTTTCAAGCACACTATAGATATAGTGGAGAGATTTACATACTCCGCATTCGGACACCACAACAACATGGCAAACACACTACAGTATATAGTGAGCAGGGAGAGGTTTCAGACACAGCCTTTTGATATCCCCTCTCTTAGCTGTGGAATTAGCCTACCACAATCTGCGTAGAACTGTCATGTCCTTCCTCCATCAGCAGATCTGGGTCCGACTCCTGTGGTTGGTGCTGGTCTCTGTAATGGCCCCTATTATCTGTAGCCCAGCCTGGGGCCCGAGACCTCAGCCTGGATGTCCAACTCCTTCCTCTGGGCTCAGCGTCTTCTGCAATCACATGTGACACCCCCTGCATGTTGTTATGATTGACCCCTAGGGAACCAAAGGCAAGGGAATAGGAGATAAGGTGTTGTTGTCATTGCTGCTGCTCTTTTTTCACAGTAACAGAGGATACCAATATCATACCAATCAAACAGAAAGCTAATAAAAAATTTTAATAAAAAACTAAGCAGTCACTGCTGTGAAGGACAAAGCTATATGTATATAGGGGACAACAACATATTAACATAGGACACAAATAAGTCTACAGACATTTAGCCAACATTTCCTTAAAATTCCTGAACAGTCCATCACCATTCAGATCCAAAACAAAGCCATGAAACTGAAATACAGGACTGGCACAGAGGGGAAAAAAAATACCATAAACTGCAGCTTTTAAAAAGGACCATAAAATTGAACCAACACCTATTTAAAATTATTTAAATAACAAACTAAATCATAACTTCCATGAAGATACACCTCATGGCAAGTCTGCTGTAGTAGACTATTAATCTTTGGATAGATGTACCTACTAAATTGGCAACTGTAGCTTCAATGAAGAGCTTCCAAAAAAAATGACACACAACAGGATACTGCCAGTGTGCAGTATTTTAACACGCTTCAAGCTACTTAAGGGGGAATAACAGGGAAAGGTGTATGTCAAGGTGCCTCCATAAACATCATTGAGCAGATTCCTCCAGTGTCTCACAGCTACCAGAACAATGAACTCCTCAGCTTGTGCCATGTGGCAAACATAAGCGACTGCCCTGTCATTCTGCACCTCCAGTGACAACACTATGTCCCAACTTTTCCCTTCACAGTAATGGGTGAAAGCATGCTTCACATTTTTCACACTAGCAGCTCCAGGACCAGGCATGTGAGGTCAGGCAGCACTGGATGTTTTGGCTATAGTTTGTCACATAGTGGCCCTCTGGCTAAAGAGGCCAGTAATCCTCCACCTGCGAACTGATGTAATGTGGACATTGTACCAATGCTACATAATCTGGGAGTGCAGATGTCAAGAAGACAGAACAGATATATTGGTAGCAAAGAAACTGCATCAGTAGCTACAGTGAGCGCTGCAGTCAATAAGATTTAAATAAAATGCCAAGTTGTAGATCACCAAAACGAGTTATATCATGTAAACCCAACACAGTTTACCAAGTGCTTCTGCAGCATAGCTCCCTGTTGCCTTTTCACTTACAATAAATCAGATGTTCCACAGAAAAGAGAAATCCACAAATACTGGCACGAACATTCCCGCTCTGTGCAGCAGCAACACACCTGCACCGGATTACACCTTTAATTAGTCTCCAGTTACCTCAAAATAATGATACTCCGCCTAGTGGTTGAATGTCTTAACACAAGTAAACATAGATGCACACAAAACTAAAAAAACGTCTCCTTCAAATAGGCCTACAGAGGTGTAAAACGTTTATTCCCCCGCCTTTTAACCTAAAACTTAATAATTAGTATTTAATTTAATTATACCAATTAGTTTCCCACTGTGGTCAAAATGCGGTGCAGTCAAAAATAAAATAACCTACATATGAAAACTGTAAGTGGCATCTTCAGTACTCAGATTAAGGCATAGCACAAAGCACATCTTTCAGACCAACGATGCTAATTCATTATACACTGAATTAAATGTGATAATTAAAAAAAAACTATAATGAGGCCCCAAGGTTACACAAAGTTAGCGACCATAAAATGACGCAGTTACACAGGTTAGGCTACAATACAAAGTGTAACGCTAAGAGCTTAGCTACGTAACCCATATAACAATACATAAATATTAAATACCTTTAAATTAAATAAAAGTCCAACTATTTTTCTTATAGGCTACAATAGGATATAGAAGTAATATATAACTAGCAACTAGTCTGAAACGTTACCGTAATACGCAAAAAGAGCCCCCATACATAGCGTCAATATACACACACAACCGTACTTACGGTTTAACGCTCAATCCTTTTTATTACTTACCATAAACGGATTTAAGCTTCATGAAGCTCAGCTGGTAAATGATGACCAGCTCTGTAATGAGATGAACTGTCTTTGGCACGGTCATCTTCATCATTCTTCTCACTTCATAAAGCTGCTTCAGACCGCAAAGACATAACGCAATATGAGTTTGTGCCAATTACTGACTGGAACACTCCGTCTCTCTGTTGGTAACGTTAAATCGCTTGTCTACAATTTTTAAAAAGTACCAATCGTCTAATTAAAAAAAAGAAAGCTCAAACGTAGCTATTTATCTCACTCAGTGTAAAGTCTGCCGTGATGATGTTCATGTCAGGATGTCAGACTGTCCGCAAACACCTATGCGCCAGTCTCCTCATGAATGTAAGCTGGTGGTGATGGATGTAAGGACAGCTGAACCCAACACGCCGCCTTTATGTGCTGTCGGAATTGTCAGCATTAAATCAGAATAGCCTGTTAAATTATAGCCTACTCTGAAAGTGAAAGTACATTTACTAAAATACTGTACAGTTATGACATACTTAGGCCTATATATTAAAACTAAATAGCTAATAGATATCCTATTATAAAACACCTTTTTGAATGGAGCCATTTTGCACAATTAGTAGACTATTGTTTACATACAATATTTAGTCAATGTGAGATCTAATATATGTAATCTGAATTTCCACGCCATAATACAAACCCACTAATTTTTAGAGGTTCTGAAACAAATCTGAATACCAAATAAACACCAGCAAGTTCTTGCTTTACTTTTGTAGAATATCGGAATACTTTCTTCACCACCAATGGCCTTTCTCTCTGCATAACGATTCCTCTCGCCTGAGTGTGCCCACAAATTTAAAGTCACCGGAAACAGGTGAATGTCCAAAGTAATCCCAACTTTGGATCGCATATACAACTACTTCAACTTTTTTTTCATAAGCAATGCAAGCTGTTTTATGTATGACTTGCTATACACATACCCTTCTGTATGTGTGTGTGTGGTTGTATGTCTTAAGTGTCAGCTCTGTGACAGACTGCTAACCTGTACAGGGTGTACCCCACCTTTCACCCAGTGTCAGATGGGATTGACTCCCCCCGTGACCCTCACCAGTGTTACAATGGGTGGATGGATTTCATGGTTCACTATAACATTTAAAGACCTGCTTTACGTCATCTAATTAAGTGGACCACAGTACCTATTAAAGCAGACACATTTCAGACAATATCATTTGAACATTATCTATATCAAGCGTAAAGGAAGGAATGATGTTTGTCAAATAAAATATCACAGATGATAATGAAATGAAATCTTGACAGACTGATTATCAGTTATCCATGAACAAAAGGAGTGCGGTCAGCTTTGTTTTGAGTAACCTATTTCATGGTGAATATGCAAACAAAATGCCCCAGTTCAGACAAACTACAGGTGCTAGTCATATAATTAGAATATCTTCAAAAAGTTGATTTATTTCACTAATTCCATTCAAAAAGTGAAACTTGTATATTATATTCATTCATTACACACAGACTGATATATTTCAAATGTTTATTTCTTTTAATTGTGATGATTATAACTGACAACTAAGGAAAACCCCAAATTCGGTATCTCAGAAAATTAGAATATTACTGAATACCAATACAAAGAAAGGATTTTTAGAAATCTTGGCCAACTGAAAAGTATGAACATGAAAAGTATGAGCATGTACAGCACTCAATACTTAGTTGGGGCTCCT